ACAGTGGTAACAATACTGAAATTCTGAATTGGCTTTATATAAAGGTAAGTGTATCCTAATACACACAATATAAATACGACGAGCTTTAATCAAAGGGGAAGGAAGCTCGAATGCCTTCCCAGGTAGGGCTAAAGCCAACGCCTCTCTGGGAAATGTACCTAATCACAAAAAGCTAAGGGTCACAGTAAGCAACAACAGACATGTGAAAACAAGTTGGAAATACACAAAAAAAAACACCACCAGAGATGCACAAGAACAGTGAAGCAAGAACTCACAAGTAAAGAATACCAATTGCTGAGCTCTTTCAGAAATAAAGTGGGAACATAATCCAACTGACAGATTGGACTACACAAAGTCCATAAATTTTCACACATTCCCCACAAATATCTCTATACACACATGAAACAAATAAACTAAAAGGCAATCAGGAAGTTTGGGGTGAGGGCACTCCAATACTTTATAAGAATGCCTAAGAAAATTGGAAAAATGTCACCTGTGTCTCCAGGGAGACATTTTGCAATACAGAGGTAACTGGCTACCAACCCCCACAAATATGCCACCTCACAGATATTGCAAAGTAATACTCTTAGACATATCTATAATCAGCTGTGACATAATGCTTTTCTGTGTGAATATCAAAGGGAGAGACAATACTATCAGAAGTGTGTTCATGAACTTCTGTTGCAAGATAATACTTGTAAGATCCTTAATATGGATGCTTGCCAACAATACACAAACATACTATTATTGTAAGAAAACACATTTTTAAAAAGCCCTAATCTGACTTCTTGTACCTCCACAGTTGAAGCCTGTTCCTCTTGCACAATGGTAACAATACTGAAATTCTGAATTCACTGCAAAGATTCTTGGGTCTCTGTTCTTTCTCTGGAAGCTCTGGACGCCTCCCTCCCATCCTTTCTTCAGCCTCTGTTAGCTCCATTTCATGGTCAGCAGAGAACCCTGTGTTAACCAGTGCAACATTCACTTCTCTGCAAAGTGTTATGAATCAATGCAGCCTGTGAATAAATCATACATCAGGACAGCAAGTGGCCACAGCAGCGCGGCTCCTGGCTAGTTCAGCCTGGCCCTAAACTGACCTCAGCTAAAGTGTCTTGGGCTCTATTCTCCCTTCTGATCTCCTTCAGTGTCCACTGAGATCTCAGACTCACCTGGAGACCAGCTCTGGGAGGAAGGTCTCTCTGTGGAAGTTCAAGGTCCTGCCTGGGTGGGCTTGATGATGACTGAAGATCTGTCCTCAGATAACACAGCAGGAAGGAGTCAAGTGCTGAGCATACTGAAGACCTCAAACGACACCACCATGTCCTGTCCAGCACAGGGCTATTCACTGAGGGACCACATTAGAGCAGAGAGCCACAGCTCCCTAAATCTGCTCATTAGCTCATTTCACTCTTATTCCCCCGAGGGACACTGGCCTGGAAAGACAGGAAATTCTTCCTGCGGATTCTCTGTTCCCAGGAGACCCATTTATAACACAGAGAACCTAGTTTTTATTGCTCCTCCATGGATTCATCTGCTGCCTTCCAGAGGTCCAGCCTCCTGGAATACCCCCAGAAAATAGTCATGCCCTCTTTACCAAGGGTGAGCATTATGTTCCCATGGTATAAAGCCTTGGACATTAAACTTCTTGCCTTCATGGTCCTTTCCCAAAGAATCAGGAAATTTATAGGTTTTTTTTACATTTTTATTTTATTTGTTCTTCTTAGTTATACATGACAGAAGAATGTATTTTGGAATATTATACATTCATGGAGTATAATTTATCCTAATTAGGATCCTATTTTGCGGTTGGTGGTGGGGAGGGGAAGAATGGAAGTCCACTGGATTAGACAAAG